AAATGTCTTTTAAAACGGTAATAAACGGAAAATCTAATTACAAACTCTCGCTTTTATGCCAGGAAATAAATTTTAAAATCTCAGTCACTGTTTATTATGCTGAATTTAGCAAGAAAAAAAAGCAATAATAGTAATTACTCATAGGGCATATAATAATAGTATCATACAGCGTCAGTGGGTAGCACAATCGCCTCACAGCAAGAAGGTCGCTGGTTCGCATGCTGGTTTGCATTTTCTCCCCGTGTTCGGGTGGGTTTCCTCCGGGTGCTGCGGTTTCCCCTCACAGTCAGACATATCATGTGAACTGAATAAGCTAAATTAGCTGTGTTGTATGAGTGTGGGTCTTTCCCAGTGTTGGGTTGTGGCTGGAAGAGCATATATAAGTTGGCGGCTCATTACGCTGTGGCAACCCCTCATTCATACAGGGACTAAGCCGAAAAGAAAATGAATGAATGAATGAATGAATGATTAATGTATCATAACAAAGAGATATGTTAAAATATGGTGTCTCTGAATGTAGTAAAATTCATTGCATGCATTAAAATAATAATAATTCAATATACATTAGAAGACATAGATTTAGAAACGGACAATAGGCCTATTATTTCATTTAAGAAGTTTATGAAAAATAGAGAATTACAAAAACCAAAATACTAGTCAGAGAGATGCATTTCATTTACACATTTTATATAGATGTAAGAATTACACTAGTAATAACGGAATATTCACAGTTATGGAATATAATTAACACTAACAAGAAAAAAATGAAAATCACTCATATTTCTTTGCTGGATTTAGCTGAGGCTTAAGCAAACATGCCTCAAAACAGAAACCGTACACTTCCTTTGAATAAAAATTTTGATTAAAACCACACCAAAAACAGCTAATTATAGAAATAAATAAATAGCCTATAAAGAATTAGCTGTTACACTCGCGTCAGGCTATATCAAACTTCATCGATAGGTGGCAGGACAACCTCAGATTCTCGACTTCATATGGTAACCTACATTTGAAAACAAGGGCTACTGTGCTCACGAGAAACCTCAGCTTGGTCCAAAATTTGAGCGGTTACACAACATCTATCTTAGTCTGTTCGAAATCTGCTGTAAATAATATTGAAAAATATATACACTGACAAAATAAGAAACACTGTAGTATAAATAATTCTTCATGCTCTGTTGGTGTGTTTCGTGCTTATATTGCTCAAGGAAATGTTTGAGAACTGCCTGAATTTTGAAAACCATTGAGCTTGGTAAAATTAATACTGAGAGGCGAAACGTGCCTTTGAATAAAAATTTAAAATCTTTTGCAGGATGGCAAAAGATTTTATTTCTCTCTACCATGAACAACACATTTGGATTCAGTAATAAAGATTACAGAGCGGCAGGTTCATACTTGTTCAAATGTTCAGCAACCCCCTGCTTTTCATTTCTCATATACACAGTTCAGACACGTGCACTGATACATACCTGTCTTCAAATCCAGAGTATGTTAAAGGAAAGGAAATGTAAGTCCTTTACAGGAAATTAGATAGTTTGAGAAGAGGAAACTTTATGTGGCTGAACAGGAAAGAGGGGTGTTCCTTCCTAAGGATGAGGAAGAGGGAGGACAGGGGAGAAAGAAAGTCGGACACGTGAATATATTCCTAGTCCTTGACAGGGACAGTGTCAGATATACTATCACAGATCACTTTCCAAGTTGAGCTTTTTAACATAAGAATATAAAGTGCATTTAAATATTATAATGGAATAATTATTATATTAATAATGAAGTTAGGCGACACGGTGGCTCAGTGGTTAGCACTCTCACCTCACAGGAAGAAGGTCGCTGGTTCGTGTTCAAGCTCGGCCAGTTGGCATTTCTGTGTTGCCTTTGCATGTTCTCTCCGTGTTTGGGAGGGATTTCTCCAGGTGTTCTGGTTTCCCCCACAGTCCAAAGACATGCTGTATAGGTGAAGTGAATAAACTAAATTGGCCATATAGTGTATGTGTGTGAATGAGTGCATATGGATGTTTCCCAGTACTGGGTGGCAGCCGGAAGGGCATCCGCTGTGTAAAACATATGCTGGATAAGTTGGCGGTTCTTTCCGCTGTGGCGAACCCTGATGAATAAAGGGACTAAGCAGAAGAAAAATGAATGAAAGGAAAAATTAATAATGAAGTTGACACAGATAATTATTTGTATATTCCAAGTGAGTTTTTTAACAACAACAACAAAACAACCCTATTTCTTTTCCTGCATGACACAAATGATATCATCAGTTATGACACGTCATAAGTTATGATTGCATCATAATACACACTCAACAGTCAGAAATAGTTTGTGCCCTAAATCCTATCCTCATTTATTGTTATCCTTTTGAAACACAAATCACACCTAAATCACACCTGACTTATTGATGAAGTGACAAACTCAAACTTTCTAAAACTCTTTTCGTAGTCAAATGAAAATGTCAGAAACTGCTTGTATTTTTTAAAGGGCACCTATTTTACCCCTTTTACAATATATAAGACAAGCCTTTGGTGTCTCCAAAATGTGTCTGTAAATTTTCACCTCAAAATACCCATCAAATTATGTATCATAGCCTCCAGTATTTGCCCATTTTAATGTGTGAGTATACTGTAGCTGTTTTTGTAGCTTGTGGGTTTTAAATGCAAATGAGCTGTTTCCCCCTGCCCACCGTTCCCACATGCATATGTGCTTCTTATCTTGAGTTATGTCAGATAAACAGCAGTCAGTTATAGAGACAGACACATATGAAGCTGAAATACAGCTCATTGGTAAAAAAACAAAAAAACAAGTATGTTTATTTAAAATAGTTGTGGTGGAGTTTTAATTCAAGCCTCTCTGAAAAGATGAGTCACACACAAAAGCCAGTATACACACACACACATTAGCATTTACTGACACCATGCGGTCGTGGTGATTATAGCGGTTAAGAATTACATAGCGATTTTAGCTGTCTTTACTACAAATATGCTCTGTTTTAAAAAGTTTTTAAAACATAAAAATCCTAGACAGTACCTGTGTCTACAACAGCACTGTCTGGTACACTTCCTTTGTCAGATCATTGTTCACAATACAAAGCTTTTGATTTCCTCCTGGCCTGACGCTGTATTCTAATTTAGAAGTCATCTGCTCCACCTCCTCACTCCATGTGGATTAATCACGGTTTTTAATTTATAAAACTGGAACAAATTAGAGACATTGTCTAAAGGGTTCTTCCAAAAACTTTGATAAAATTTGGGGTTCACTCCTTGAATATATGGAAATGTATACTCCTTGCATACTGGATGATAGTTAATTTTTACATTCTTCGCTGCTGTGACATCATGACCAGGCTTTTAGTTTGGTGTATGAACAATTGTTTTGTTTGGTACAAGATTATTGTTTTATCATTTTTTATCGTTTTAATATAATTTTTTTCTTTTTTTTGTATTTTTGTTTTATTTTTATTTCTATTTTTATATATATAAATATAATTGTCACAATCATTTTGATCCTTGATTACTTTTCTCACTCTCTCTATGTCAAAAAGTACAATAATATTCTAAAATGTATGATATTTGTTAAAAAAAATTGTTGTAGAAAAATGTACTGTGGACACGTGTACATGTTATTATAGAAACATGGTGCCTGTCAATCAATTTGGTGGGCGGGGAAAACCGCACTCCTACTTTACATTGCAGTGGGCCTCAAAATCACTGGGATTTGGTTCCTATTGTAACGTCAGGAAATTTAAAAATAGAGACTTGTTGGGTTTATATCACTCCAACATGACAGTGGACATACTATATATACAGATAGTTCTGTCCAAACAGCTTACACAAGTTGATTTTCATCATTGTATAAAATGAATAAAATAAAATAAAATGAATTTAGTAGAGAAAAAAAATGCATACATGTTTATGATCATAATGAAAGCTTCACCAATCAGTCGACACAGAGTGCATCATGTGACTTTAAACAATGTGTGCACTGAATAAACTTGAGTAATTAGCACATTAATTTGTGATGGACTACTGCTCCATCTCTTTATCAAAACTTGATTTCCTATTCTTTTTATATTCCAGGAAAGCACAACACATTCCAGCTTGCCAAAATGGAACGCCATTGAAAGTACAGAGTCCAATGGCAACAGTAAATCTTCAAGTGCCCCACCCAGAAAACATACTTTTCTCCTTTTTTTTCTGCTGGGGTGTGGCGTGCTGTCCCGATCACACATATCTGAGGGTGAGTACCAACCTCTTGGTTCCTGGTTTCCCCTCAGAGTTCAGTCTGTGATTTTTGTAGTAATTATATTTAGCAGTAGTTCAGTTTTATCCAAAAGTCTAAATGTGATCAGAAGTTGTGCAAACTGGAAGGGAGGGAAGAAACCGCCAGAGCCCAAATGGGTGTGAATCAACCACTGGGTGTTATTCATAGAAACTGCATGGTGAAATTCTTGCCAGAGCTGATGTTTTTCATTCAGTGGCTAACAGTAGGAGTGGATGAAACTCTCTACAATTGACATTCTTTATAGCTTGTACAGATTAGCATAACTATAATGTGCACTCATGTGAGACAAATGCAGAACTTTTTTTTTTTAACATGTTGGCAGACTATTTCTAAAACTAAGCATCCTGTGAGTGGTGTGTTCCTATCTGAGGGTTTGTTAATTGATTTCACCCACCAACTTTCCAGTGACCTGATTTGTGAAACACAATTTGAACCAAATGGTAACAATGCAGAATATTCGATTGTGGCACTTATTTGAGAAGGACCCTAATTCTTGTTGTGTTTAATGGAGCATTGCTTTACTGCTTTTGTGAAGTAACATTTGGTTAATAATTATAGTTTTTAAATCTTAATGAAACAGTTAAACCATACCTTCACCTCTCTCTCTCTCTTCCTGTTGCTAACTGTCTCACGCTTCTGAAGCTGTGATGTGTGTGCTGGAACAGGAAATGAATGCAGACAGAGGAGGCAGGCAAGCTGAAACTGGCACAAAGCTGTAGCGTGTATACACACCCACCCACATACAAACACACACACACACTGGCCCTGAGCAAGAACTGTCAGAACTGGAACTTTGAGCTGTACTGTAGGTGGAATGTCAAAGTGCTTGTGCGAAAGACAGAAAGCTGTATAAGGCATTAAGTGGCGTGAACTTTCAAGAAAGGAAAAGAGATTTAAAGCAAACAAAAGAGACGGATCCTACAAATGTAACTTGGTTGAGAAGAGAAAGAATCAAAGGTGTTGAGAAGATGGTGCGGCAATCTCGCCTATGCAGGTAAACCTTTGAATACTTTGATTACTTTAGAAGTAGGCAGCGTTTGTTTTGTCTTTAGGTACTTTGCATTTTGTGTGCAGGTTTTTCCTAAAAATCTGTTCAAGATACCCACAACATCTGCATTTGATTTTTCAGTCTTGTACCTACTTGTTGCAGTTTGCAAAATGAACAGAGATTTTTAAGGTTGTGATGTGAGAACTGTTCCTGTTCTTGCTTTGATCAGCTCATCTGTCGTTTTATGAGCTCAAATCTGTTCCATTGATTGTTTTGACTCCTGAAAATCAGTCTTTGGTTCTCATAATTTTTATCATCTCAGATATAAAGCTTTGAGTGCTCAGTGACGTTTGTTGCAAAAACAGATGAAAAATCAATCTGTGTGCATGCATGCAAAATCCATTTGCAGTGTTTACGATCAAGGTATTCCCTGTGAGAGGACATTTTAGCTGTGTGTAGACTTCAGAAAAAGTCAGAGCACTCTTTCTGCATTCCTGTGGTGACTGTGCTGCTGGGTCTGGGTGTGGATGAAAACTGGATCACCGCAGAGCTGGTACAGCCATCCCAGCCATTTAGAAGGGCATCTTAATTCTGCCTCGGGTCTTTGGCATGTGCACACCTTGGAATAATCCTTATGACTTTCTAAGGCTACTGTTGTTTGGGTTATTAGTTCACATAATATTGAAAATTCTGTCATTGTATACTCTGCCTCATGTCATTCTTATACCATGAGACCGTCATTCATCATCGGAATAAAAATTAAAATATTTTAGATAAAATCCGAGAGCTCCCTCATCCTCCATTGATAACAGCCCTGAGGGATTCAGTCCAGAGTACAGAAAAGGAGCCAGAAATATTGTCAGAACATTCCATGTGACTTCAGCAGTTCAACAGTAATCATACGAAGCTCCAAAAACACTTTTGTGTGCCAAAAGAATTGTAGAAATTACTTTGTTAGCCTATGTTTTCCTTGTTAGTCAGTGTACTCATTTACTTTGGGATTTATGACACTTGTGTGTTGCACTGCTGACTCTAATAACAATGTGTTATACTGCCCATAGTAAACGTGCACCTTGACCTGATGAGGCAGAAAAAATATAGTCAAACGAGTCATATTTACAGTTGGGTTTTGTTCACAAAAGCTTTGTTTCTTGGAGCTTTGTACGATTACAGTTGAAACACTGAAGTCACATGGAATGTTTTTGACAAACAGTGAGGATCAGGGAGCACTCAGAAGTCATGCAATATATCCTGACTTGTGTTGTGAACATGAAGGAAGGTCTCAGGAAATTGGAATGACATGGGGGTGAGTAATTAATAACAGAATTGTAATTTTTGGGGAACCAACCCTTTAAAATCATACTAGTAGCAAGTATTTTCACATATAGGATTCGCTAAATGTTAACTTTTGAAATGAAAGATTCATTCATTTGTTTACCCTGTATGATTCTCTCCTTCTTTCAGGGAACACAATAGGTGAATTTAGATAGTTCTTTTCCATGAAAATAGTAGATGGTGATTTATACCATCAAACCTCAAAGTTACATCGTGAAAGCTTGTGCAGTTAATCAAAATGATAACTCTGCCCAATGAAGATAGTAAATGCTGAAAATCATCACAATTCATCACAATTCATGCACACTCAAAAATATTGTTTGTTGCTTTTTCAAACTAGTTATTTAAAATTAGGGATGTCCCGATCAGATTTTTTGCCTCCGAGACATTTGATTTTGAGTATCTACTGATACCAAAACCCAATCTAATACTTCTATAATACATAAAAAAAGAATAAAGAAGAGTGAAGAAACAGGATCCAGGATGTTCCTCATTTTTTTTTTATTTAATTAATCTTATTTTAACATTCAACAACTCAGCAGAGCACTTTTGTGAGGTAGCTTAAACAATCAAGTAATAAATAACATAAATTCTTCACTTTTGGACTTTAGTGCAACAGTAAATATAAAAAAATAATCTAATTTAAAAACAAATAAAACCTCAACTTTAAATACCCGACAGGCAATCCCAAGTTTGCATACCTCACAGTTTGGAATGGCAATGTTGTCTTTATCAACCTTATAATACCTCTAGACCGCAGACATTCTCACGCTTTCCACTTTAAGCTGCTTCCGTGCTCTACTTTGACAGAATTTACCGAATAGCGTCTCTGCAACAAAGTGATGTCACGCCGCATACTTTGCTGTTTCTGTGTGAAAACAAGAAAGAGATCTTACTCTGTGCCACTGCATAACAATAGATCTGTTAGAAAACAATGAGAATATATGTATATATATAATCAACCCCTGATGGGGAGGTAATGTCTGATTCCAATCAAGTCTGAAATTGTGTGATCGGGCCTGGACAAGTAAATAGATCTGGACATCCTATCCTATCTGGACATGTTTTATGTTCAATCCACTTAAATTTGTAAAAACTAATAAGTTAACTTTATTTCTTCACGTTGTTCCAACACAAATCAATTGTCTGGTACCCAGCATTTATTACAGTGCAGGCTGTTAAGCTTAAGATGATTGCAGTGCAACCTGGTCCATGTTAGAATACGTGTGTCCAGAAATTAGAATGAGCAATAACAAGTAGTGTGTTTATCACATAAAGTATGTGCACAATCTCCAGCACACTCTCGCTTTACAAGGAAGGGGAGGGAAAACCAACAGCCTTAAATACTATTTTTGGTTCTTAAAGTTTTATATTTGGTAATGAAAGACACACAAAGACTATTCAAAAGCTAAAAGAGTATGTTGAAAGTCATATGCTCACAAAATGCAACAGAAGATAATATGAAGTGTTAGGATAGCCCTGAATTTAATTCTGAAATGTCCGGTTGCTGCAGGGTGACTATACACATCACACAGAAACCCATTTCCCCCCCAACCATGAACATCCTGTGTAAGAACCAGACAGCACAGCAAGGTCAAAGCAAGCCAGGCAACAGAAAAAACAAGGAGTTTCCGTGTTTAAACAGTGTCTAAATGGGAACAGCCTCCTCCAATTGTTCTTCCCGAACAGCCATTTTCAGCTGGAAGGACACCCCCTCCCCCCAAATACAGATTCCAAGCTGATTTCTTTTTGAACTGCACCAATATGATGAATCACGCGTTGGGGTTTCTATCAGTTCAACTCCTAGCGCTGACGTTGTCAAACAGGTTCTAGCTTTCCCCCTTTTGAAAACATAGTATCAGTCAGAGATTAATGTTGGCATGGTTGCATGTCATTATGAAGAAGATTTTCAGAATCAAATGTAAAGCAATGCTTGTAGCTCTACTGGAATGGTGCATTGTGCTCCTTCGTAGGCCTTGTTTCAGTTTGTTGCCACCCCCCTGGTTTATGACGTGCTAAGGTGATCTGCCCTTATGTTTAGCTCTCTGTTTGTGGACGGATGTTTCTGTTTGTCTACAAACTCTCTTGGAAGGCTTTTCAAATGTACAAGGGTGGCGTTCTTCGTCTTGTCTGTCTCTCAGGAGACGTGTCTTGGCTTGTTTAAATACTGCAGCTGATGTTGTTTTGGCATGAGGTTGATAAAGCCTTCAGCAGATTACAAAGATTTTTCTCCTTTTTAGTTATAGCTACGGAAATACATTTGCCTTATTTTTGGTTGTAAGAAATTCTAGTTTTAAATGGTGTGATACTGGACAATCAGTCATGATTCAACCTCATATATCAAGATTGTTTTACATACAGTACTTCTCAAAACTATCAAGTCTAATGTCAGCTGGTTCTGTCTGTCACTCACTCACTCCCAGCATAACAAGCATCAGGTTTAACAAGAAATTCTAGAGATACACCCTTTTACACTTAGCTTTACATAGTTTTATGTTAAGTAATTACACAAAAGCAAATGCATAATCATAAACTGTTTTTTTTTAGTCGGATTGCTTTATTGGTTTTAATCCAAACTTGTTTAAACTCCACATCATTTGTCAACACATCAGACTCTTGAGACTAGTTACTACTAGACATATGCTTTGTTACGTTCATACAAGTAATTTTGCGCAATTATCTGCAGTTTTCTGCATCACTAATTGTTAAATCATGTTGATCAAAATATATTACACTATACAAAATATTGTCTTGTGGTTCCATCGCATGGGGCTATAAAGTCACTTTCCAAAACCTTTTCATTTAATGTTCCTCGCCAGTGAAATGATCTTCCCATTCCCACTCAGACTGCTGATAATGGTAAAAATGGTTAAAGGGTAGAATTTTTTATAAATTTCCAAGCATATTTTCTAATTTTATTAGTTTTTATTTCCAATAAATGTGTACTCAATTGATGAATTGTGCAAGTAAATTTTGGATTTCACTAATAGTAAAGCATTAGATCAGGGTGGCTTGAACGTTTTTGTATCAAGGGCAAAAAAAACTAAACTCATTGAGAGCTGGGGCAAAAGGTAAATAAACTATATTACATTAAAGTTGTCATGGTTAATTTCCTAATTATTCATAATATTTCAAAATAAAATACTTTAAATATTATTAACTAATGCAGTATAACTGTTTTAAGGATAACTTATTGCAAAAAAAACATAATCAATCACATTTATAACAGTGGAGTTCAATACTGAATACACTAGTCAAGCAGAATCTGCCTTTGCCTTGAATTGCTGAATAAAGTCTCTCTACATTTATAGAAATCAGATTAATTTACACCATTTAATTCAAACATTTAATTTAAGTTAGCTTGTAACAGTAAAACAAACAAACAAAGGGTTACATTAAATTTAAATTTGACAATCTCGAAATCATCCCTATTATTCTCCATCTGTTCTTAGATGGGATGGCAGGACAAATCAAAGGTTACCATGGGCCAACTTTTTCCTGCGGGCCCTAGTTTGGGCATCTCTGCATTAGATCAACCAGTGATCAATCAGGATTCTTGGAGGTACATCCCATGAATATTTAGTTGTCAAGCAGATAGACAGAGGATAACTTTATAAATGTAACAAAAACCGAGATAGAAGATGCCAAGTACTGTATGTTGACACATCTCTAATGAAATAAGGGCCACTATTGTGGACCATGTTTTCAGTCATAACTTTTCAACAACCGAGGATCAAATGCGGCAGCTGATACTAGGAAAATAATGTATTCAATCAATTAAACATTTTATTAGCAAAACTCATATTTCATACAAAATGTGCACTGTACAGTAATACGATGTACACTCTCAGAAATAAAGGTACAAGAGCTGTCACTGGTGCAGGACCTTTTCAAAAGCTCAGTACCCAAATGCACCTAAAATGTACCTTTTGAGGTACCACCGTGGACTTTTTAGGTACAAATATGTAGCTTTTGAAAAGATTCTGCCCCAGTGACAGCTCTCGTACCTTTATTTCTGAGAGTGCACTAACTATAATCATTTACTGGTAGTATATGTGTATTTTACGTTACACAGTACAACATACATACTCTTTCTCTCTTTCTCTCTCTCACCCACACACAACCATCGTTTGCAATATTCTAACAATTTTAACTATTCATGAAAACTGTAGCCCAAGCTCACACCAGGAAATAGGCTACTAGTAAAAACAATCTTATACTGACAGCAATGCATTTTGACTTATCTTGTGTGTACATTTGCAATTCTGTTTACACTAATGTTGACAAAGATGTCGGCTTGTTAAGATAATCTGATGTGTGGTATTGTTTGTACACATTGTTTCAAGAAATGCAAACCCGCAGAGAAAAACAGTAAGTCAATGCTCATACTGTGGAACTAGAAAACACATTTTACAAATGATTTATTGTGGAGTTATGTTGTGTTTGAAATGCTGCTTATCTGTCTAAAATGTCCCCAAGCTCATGTAAGTTGGAAATCATCATTCTTGTTAGACATTAAAGAACTACTGTACATATAAGACCCTTGGAGAATTGTTTGATTGAGGAAGCGAGGTTGCTTTGATTTGCGACATGCTTCAAACAGCCACAACACATCGGATGTTTAAAACATGGCGCAATGAGACTTGACATCTTAGCTTCTGACAAAGCCTCGAATTTTCAGCCAAGCATTTACTTATACGAACAGATATCCATAACTAGGAACACACGCATCTTAAATCAGTAGAAAGCATATGTTTATTGCTGACAATGTTTTATGTATTCCTCTTTCTCACACACACACACTTTGTATTGGATACTTAAGAGGAAGGAAGTATTTCAAAACAAGCCATTGCCAAAATCTATATTTTATCAAAAGGTCATGTGTCATAGTGGTCATTAGATACAGTGCGGAAAATAAGTATTACATTTGTTATGTGTAATAACAATCAAATAACACAGGGAGAAAGTACTGAACTACTGAAATATATTAAATATTTTATATAAAAAGCTTTTTTGGTGATGGATTGCTAATTTCATATGCAATGATGTTACATGCATTTTTTATGTGTGATTTTTTTTTTTTCACAGACCTCAACAGAGTGTAAAAATCTTTATGGTTCTGTGAGACTCATCTATCAATTCTGACCTTATTTTTTATTCTATATTTGTCACCGACTCGGTCCCAGTCATTCCCCTCGCTGGCCATCAGAGGTCATCATCCCTGGACTTCTAACCATTACATCATCCATTTACACTGATAAGCCTGCACACCTGAAGCGCATCCACCTAATCGCTCACGCTTATAAGCAGCACTCTCACATTCAGTCATTGCGAAGTCTTGTTCTGCCCCGGCTAACACTACTGAGCGTTTCTCATCCTTGCCTGCTTTCCCATTGCTTACCTTGCCTTGTTCTCTGACCTCGTCCTGCCAGCTGCCTGCCTTGTACTTCAGCCTGATTTCCGACTCTGATTCTAGCCGCCTGCCTTGAACTCTAGCCTGGACTCTGACTTTGATATTCGCCGCCTGCCTCTGACCCATGCCTGATCATTTATACTGTGATTACCTGCCGTTGATACTTCAACGTAACACGATTGTGTTTGATGTGAGTTCGCACACGCATTACGTCTGTGTGCTTGTGTTTATTAAACTGTGTTTAATAAATTTACTGCAAATGGATCCCTCTGTGTCAGCCCCTTCGTTACAATATTAGATTTAAGTCAGGTGATTGACTGGGTCATTCTACAGCTTGATTTTCTTTCTCTGAAAGCATTTGAGAGTTTCCTTGGCTGTGTTTTGGATCTTTGTCTTGCACTGTAAAATCCAACAGTGAAAATCACTAAATGAAATAAGTTAGTTTAACTTATAATTAAAAAAAAGTTACTATGACTTAATGAAAAAGTTTTCAGGTAACTCATAAACTGATTATATTAAGCAGAACTCAAACATTATGAGTTATGAATTAATTAATATTTTGTGCTACTGCTAACTTAACTCTAGAAGCAATACCAAACCATTTGAGTTGGTAACTGATACCGATTTGATAAGTGAACTTCAAATTTTAAATTACTACTTGTCTAAATATTTGAAAATATGTATATGATGCTGTATACATGTTTATATATATATACATACATATATACATGTAGATTATATATATATATATATATATATATATATATATATATAGTATATAAGTTTACAGTTCTCAAACCATTTTGTGTCAACTTAAATGTTTGCCGCAATCGATTTCCTCAATCAGTTTGTGTTAACTTATCAGGTTTTACAGTGTGCTGAAATGTCCCCTCTGGTTTCATCCTCACCATCCTGGTATTGTAGGTGTTGGACTGAAGCAGCTAGTATTAATTTACAGTGATGAAGGTCAGAGGGTTGCTAAAGAACTACTGAGAGATTTCAGCTGCTGTCTGGGCTTTCACTGCCTTTCTGCACCTCCCTTTCTTCATGTGTTCAAGACTTTGCCTGTGTCATTTTATTGTATTACACATAACTTCATGGTTTAGTAGTTTAGTAGGAAAACTAAATGGTTTAGTTTTCTTTGCATATATGGATTTCTTTGGTTGTTTCCAACATCTGGTGATGTTTCAAGTCAACAGCACTTTTATAAAAATGTTTTCAAAGAAAAATTGTAACGTGTTCAATACTTATTTTCCCCACTGTAAATACAAACTGTAGCAATGCACTATTTGCACTATACAATTGTAAAAATGCCTCATCTCTCCATTGCTTTTGCAATCCGACGAATCTGTGTTTCTTAATTTCAACTATAAACAGCATTTCCTTTGTCTATAGCTTGACATCTCAGATGATTTTCTATGCAGTTTGTTCATAACGGTATCTAAATAGCGTTTTAATTGCTCACACTATGTTGTTATCGGTCAATCGTATTACAGACAACTTCCTTTCCATCTCAGGCAGAAGTCAAACCACACACAACTGATTAACAAGAGATAGAGGATGCTTGGCAAACATTAAACAACTGCTGTTGCGTCAAGGGTGACTCTCTTTAAAGTATGGAGAGTACTAAGTAAATAGAGAAAGTGTTAATCAATATTAGCTAATATATAAATGTCTGATTGGTTTAGACTTAAACTCAGAGATAATCTTCTATTTATTCTGAACATTATAATCACTAGAACTTCACAAAAAGGGTCATTTTATCTTATTTGAAAGACAGTGACAGTCACACTAGATTGGTTGCTTCAGGTCATTGATCAGAACTAGACATTTACCTTAGTTATTTGTCCATATCACTGCACTGCATCACAGTTGCCTGCCTTTAATTCTCTAAGGTTAAACGTAAGATGTTGACAAAAGGTGTAGGTTTGGGATCTCCACTGTTAGCTTAAAATGACCTAGAGCTTGTGGTATGTAGTTCTGTGATGTAATGTGCTTTTACTGAGGAATGCATTGCAAAGTGGACAGTGACGAATCATAGAAGCAGATATAACATTGTGGAAGGAGTATCTCAATGTGATAGAATCAGGAGCGTTGGGCAAAGTCTGAACAGCTGGAGCAGTGGAAAGTTCAGCCAAAGTGCTGTTGTTATTGCATGTATAAAGCAGGTGTTCTTTGGTCATGACAAATGATCTTTGGACAAATGAACAATAATCTGTGTCTTCTGCTCGATTGCTTTTTATAATCCTCTCATGTGTTTTCTACCCACAGGAGGGCCTTTCCTGAGCCTTGATTCCAGTTTGATTCCCTCAAGGGTTGAATGGGAGAGACGGGCAAGATGACGTCTGTACACACTCTTGGCCTGGTATTGGTGGAGTTTGAATATGAATATGAGGGCCGTGATGGCCACATGGTGTGCATTAAACCCAACGAGCGCTACATCCTCCTGGCCAAAACAAATGATCACTGGTGGCATGTGTGCAAAGATGAACGAGCCAAGCCATTTTATATCCCTGCGAAATATGTAAAAGAGCTTCCGCCCAACATTCCTTCACCTCTAGACTACAGAGAGCCTCCAGGTCCTGATGTGAAGCCTGCGGTGCCTGACCTCACCGAGACCCGCAAAGCAGATGAGGTGACAATTAGACTTCGCTCCAAAGGGAACTACCACAAGACAGAAAACCGCATGTCAACGTTTGGGGTTCCTTTGGACTTACACGAGCCCCCTTCTTACAAACACGGCGGACCTTCAGATTCTCTCATCTCCCTGAGCTCGGTTTCTGCTTCAGATTCATCGAAGCAGAAGAAGAGGATGAGTCATGCACCTAATCTGCTCTTCGGGTCTCATAATAATCTACCAACCGAATTGGTGCCTGATAAATTTAGAGTGCCGAGTTTCAGCCCAGCCGATCCTCTACATAGACCTATCCCTGCCAAACCAGTGGAGATCCCCATCATCAAGAACTTAAATGAGACCAAGCCCCACCGGAAATCTCCTGAATTGGAGTCGCCGATAGAGCCTGAAAGTGAAAGTTCCAGTTCAGAACCAATGCCATCACCAGATTCTGAGAATATTTATGAATCCATATCTGACCTAAATATAGATCTCTCATTACTTACTGACAAGGAACCAGCTGGATTGCCAGATGCTCAGACCACCACATCATCCTTACCTCCATCAATAAAGGTAAGGCTTTATCTAGTGTTGCGTGCCATTCAGAACCTAAAGTGTTAGTTCACTCAGGAATGAAAATTCTGTTATTAATTTTTCACCCTCTTGTCATTCCAAATCCCTGAGACCTTTATTCATCTTCAGAACACAAATTAAGATATTTTAGATGAAATTTGAGGTCAGTTCAGAGACCGTCAAAGTCCAGAATAGAAACCAAAAGTAAAAAGAATCTAAAATAGTGGTTAAGTGCACTGACATATTCAATTCAACTCAGCTTTATTTGTATAGCGCTTTTACAATGTAGATTGTGTCAAAACAGCTTCACATAAATGGTTATAGTAACTGGATCAGGGTAGTTCAGTTTTTAGTGTTTAAGTTCAGTTCAGTTTGGCTCAGTTCAGTGTGGTTTGAAATCATTACTGATAGTCCAAACACTGAAGAGCAAATCATCGATGCATAGCTCTACAGATCCTGAACCATGCAAGCCAGTGGCGACATATAGCACCATGTTGGCTCCCAGTCCAATTTAGGATTCAATACAAGTTATTGTTATTTGTTTTTAAAGGTATGAATGGTCTGGCACCTACTTACATTGGTGAGCTTCTTTACTGGCACACTTTATTGAGGCCAATCAGGTCGCTTTCAGCTAGTTGTTCCCAAATCACGGTTAAAATCAGGTGACAGGGCTTTGTCTGTCACAACCCCTCGTCCGTGGAATGGTCTGCCTTCACATATCAGGTCATGCTCTTCCCTTGGTGCTTTTAAGTCTCAATTAAAAAATCACCTTCTGTCTCTTGCTTTTTTAATTGCAATTAATTAATTTTAATCTGTTTTACATATTTTGTTTATAAATAAGTATAGATTTTGTATGGGATGTATATTTACTACAGGTAATACAACATATTGCCATTAGAGGGTGGATTCCAATATTAAGGGCTCATCCCTATGCCTTAATCCCTTTGGAGGGTCCCTCTGAAGGGATTAGAGCATATGGATGAGCCCTTCCAAATTGAATGCAGTGTGTAACACCAAACAGCTTCCCTGCTCAAAGAATAATTTCCATTAGTGTTCATCAGTTGTATTTTTATAACTTATTCATTACAAAGGGCCTATTAAATTGGGCAATTTTGATCACTTCAATATGGCAGCCATGAGTTTTTAATTCCAAAGTGCCCTTCCAAAAGTCAAAGTGCACAGAGAGTCAGCAGTGCAACAAGCAAGTTATTTTCCAGTATAGTAAACGTGCACCCAGATCTGAAGAAAGTTGTTTTTACGTAACACAAAAGTGTTCTTTGTATGATTTTAATTGAACAACTGAAGTCACATAATTTTTAAAGTTCCTTTTCTGGAATGTCTCAGAACCCTCACTGTGGGTGGAGGATGAGGAAGCTCTTGGATTTCATCTAAGTAAAGTTTTACAAACTTATCAGCAATAATCCTATTTAATTGATTTAAGCTTACAATAAATGCACCGGTTCCGCCCCACTACCTTATCTTCGCTTTGGAAGAATCTCTCCTTCCACCCCATCTCCTTCTTTTCCTCTTTTTACCAGGGGGAGCTCTCCAGACCCACTTGATCTCGAACCTCCTTATTTGCTAATTGACCAGACGGGAGCCCTGGACTCAATTATCTCTGAGCTCAGGGTTTTCTCCTGGGACAGCATGCCAAACCTGCTAATAGCGTCAAGCAAATCTAAGTGTGAACTCTTAAAACTATATTTGTCTTCTGAAAATGATCTCAAGGTATTAGGGTAAACAATAAATAACAGAAGTGAATTTTTTGGGTGAACTAACCCCTTATTTGAGATAGACTTTTAGAGTTTTACTCCTTTCCATACTATAAAATGAGGTCGTAAATAAAATGTAAATACCAATTCATATCTAAATGTTCAAATGTGTGCCTTGCAGACAGGAATAGTCAGCTGACAAAAAAAATGGCATGTTTTCAAATCCTCTACCACTGCTTTCTCTTTCTAAATTTGACTTTTAACAGTTCCTTAAATTACACTGCAAAGACACAAGCAGTGGTGATGCTTATCTGTGAACAAAACATTTAAACCCAGTTGCTTTTCACACACACTGATGTGATGTAATTTACATTTTAGAAAATTATGAAAGAGATCATACTGCAGAGATTTGCAGTTTATTTCTATAATAGAACAAAGGAAGTGCTGAACTAGATTAAATAATGACCTCTGCCTCCAAATATTTGCGTAGTTTTGACGCATATATCTCTGCTTGGCAGGATTAGTAAATAACAACAGAGTATAAATCCTTATGAGGAAAGCAGTAGAACAGGAAGTGTTATTAAATGAAATGTTATCAACATGGGCCACTGGGAGGCGACGTTTTCATGTAAAATATATCCGACTGTTTAACGTATATCAGTGTTAACTGCACCTCAAAAGGAGAGGAAGCATAACATCTTCCATTTAAAGGCTTATAAAAAATATTTTGATAATCTAAAAGGACTTTCAAGTCGTAAAGCAATCAGAACTGTAAATGTACTCCAAAAACTAAACGCATCCTCTCTGTACCCAATCTTGTTCTTATTTTTTTCTTTCTTTCCTTCTTTCTTTCTTTTTGTTATTTTGCTTACAGATTTCATGCTAAAAATATGAATATCATATTGTAAGATTTGTAATGCATTTGATTGGAAATGTTCAGCAAATACAAATAATAATAATAATAAAAAAATAACTGCACGTCAAATATATATATATATATATATATATATGTGTGTGTGTGTGTGTGTGTGTGTGTGTGTGTGTGTGTGTGTGTGTGTGTGTGTGTGTGTGTGTGTGTGTGTGTGTGTGTGTGTGTGTGTGTGTGTGTGTGAGTGAATATATGATTATGGCGGTCTCAAAAATTTTAGTTAATAACAGTAATAATAGTATGTATATATATATATATATATATATATATATATATATATATATATATATATAAATATATATATATATATGTGTGTGTGTGTGTGTGTGTGTGTGTGTGTGTGTGTGTATGTGTATATGTACACACACATACATACTATTATTAACTAAAATTTTAGAGACCGCTATAATCTTAAATCAGTCAGGTCACCATCAAAGTGACAGTTTGTCCACTTAATTTCTCTGTCGCTGGAGCCAGATGTCATAAAAAGCACTGGAAACAATGGCAAGTAAAGGAGAGCTACTTCACATTCAGGACCTACTTCATGACATCAGAGCAGGATATTACTGTTCCTACAGGGAGGAAAGGATATAAAAACGTCACTATCCCAGTTGTGCATATCCCATGACAGCCACCTCGGCAAACTGACAAAGAAAACATAAAAGAACAGTTTTGTTTCTGATGGCATTTGATCAGCTTTTTTATTATTTTAAAAATATTTTTTTATTAAGTGGTTTAAACAAATTATTGAATTGCTGAATTTAAACAAACAAATTGAGTTGAACATTATAATATTACATTTGTTTGTTTAAATTTAACACACAAATTGTTTGCAACAACTTTGCAGACATAATTTGTCCAGTCTGTGTGTCATTTTTGATTTTGTGTGTGTGAAGAGATAATAGGCTATAGGTTTGATGAATACACCATGCCACAAAGTTTAATTAACAGCTACAGGGCATGTCCCAACAGGGATGGACTTTCTTTTAATGTCAGCCGTGACTAAATAATAGAAGATAGTTATGTTTGCATCTCACTTCTAGCAGGTAATGTTTCTTAATTCTTTCTCGAAATTCAATATGAGACAATTTTCCTAATTTTGGCATTTCCTCCAGCACACTTTCGGCTTTGGAGTAAAAGTCTCACTTAGCTTTATGCATGCACAAAGGGAAACGTGCTAATCTCCTGGGACATTGTTAGCACAGATCTTGTGATCTGAGTCAGGCTTGGTGTTGTAGCTGCAAGGTTACTATTGCTGGCACAGATGCTTTCAGCTTCTCGGTTTCAAAATTGGTAAATGATCCTGAAGCTTGAAATTTGTCCGAAAGCGAGGGAGTGAGTGAGACAAAGGCAGAGTATAAATGAAGGCATGAGAAAGAGGGATTTTTTTTTCTTATTTTCAAATTATTGACTCATTCTGTACTGCTTCGGTCATTCAAATTGTTTTGTATCATAAATACACTGAAAGATTGAAACTAGCAGGGAAGGGAGAGTGAGTTGGAGAGTGAGAGTGAAAGAGAGACTTTTGTCTTACCTTTTATGGCTTACTAAAGAAATTTGTCTTATAAAATACTGATTTCAGTTTAATAACAAAATTCCAGGCAATGTAGTGGTAGCTGTAATCAGTTTTGCTTTAACTTTGCCTCGTTTTAAAAGGTTTGCGGATGAATAACAGCCTTGTTGGTTAATAATGGCACTGCCAATGAAAAGTGAAGTTTTGTAATACTTATTAATGGATTGCATAAAATGGATGAACTTAAAAAGTGTGAGTATGCTTAATTCAGCCTAACTCTAAGCATTTGGAGATCTAATGCGGATGAAAAGCTATACACTCATGTTTGGAAAAGGTTTAGAAAAGAAGGGGAGAGGCACGGTGGGAGTAGAGCTCTCAGTGCACCTGTATCAGGTTTCAGAGCCATTGTTGGGCTGTTTACATCAGTCGCTGACAAATGTTTCACACAAAACCAGCACTGTATGAAGCTTGAGAACTTCTGAAGTGTCCATATGATGATGTTGCTATATAATTTGTGGAGGCCATCGTTCATAAATTGTCTATAGGCCATATAGAGTTAAAGTCAAAAGTATTAGCCCTCCTGTGAATTTTGAATTTTTAGTCCTCCTGTTAAAGTTTAACAGAGCAAGGTAATTTTCACAGTATTTTCTGTAATATTTTATCTTCTGAAGAAATTCTTATATGTTTTATTTTGGCTAGAATAAATGCAGTTTTTAAGAACCATTTTAAGGTCAATGTTATTGCACTTTAAGCTGAATACTATAGTGAAATAATATCCAGTAAAATATTATGCAATGTCATCATGGCAAAGATAAAACGAAATTAGTTATTAGAAATTAGGCTAGTA